ACCACCCCCGGTAGTGGGCTTGGGGGCTGCCTCACCTGGCAAAGTTAACTATTCAAATTCTTCCAGAAAACTGGAGATACTTTCCACGTAGAAGCAGGGAGCTGTCTGCACCTCCACAGAGGCCCCATGTGCTCACATTCTCAGGGGCTCAGGGACGCCCAGGTTCTCAGAACATGGTGGCCACATCTCGTGGGAGCTCATGGAAAGGCAGAACTCAGGGACCCGCCCAGAACTAGTGTTTGCATCTTAATGAGACCCTCCCACCCCTGGGACCCACGTGTGGTTGGAGGAGCACGTTCCCCGGGGGCAGGTGCTGGGGTCCGAGAAGCCCGGTTTGCACAAGCCACTGTCTCCATCAGAAGGGTGAGGATAATCATTCCCTCAAAGGGTTTTAAATTGATAAAAATGATCATTCGGTACACTTACGTATGACGTCGCTAAGTACAGAGAAGCTTCCTTCTCATGGCATTTGGGGGAAAAAAATGCACTATTCAGTTTTAAACAGCAAGATTCCAGGAAATGATCTGGAATCACTTATAATCAGAAAATGTAATGGAAAAAAGATAACCTAGGATTGAGCTGCGAGTACTAACAAAACAAAAACCAAAAACAGAAAGAAAAGGAAGCCCTTATACATAAAGGAAGCCCTTACATGTAAGAAGTGTTTATCGTAGCAAAATACTCCGTGTCTCTGAGTGGTTAAGTCTCAGTGCTGGAAAGCTACTGCTTATCCTGCAATTAATCAGTAAATTCAGCAGAAATCCAATTGATATCTCACGTGGCTTTTATTTTTGAAATCTGATAAAATGATTCTGACGTTGGTTTGGATGAATAAGCCTGTGAGAAAAGCCAGGAGCATTCTGACAAACAACCGGGGACGATGGAGAAGTAGCCCGTCCACACGAGAACATGCACTGGGCCTAGACCCCAACTTTCCACTTTTCTGCATGTGTTATGTTTTAATAAAAAAAAGCCACACACATGCATGCACCCCCCACACATACACGTGTGCACACACACACAGGCACACGCAGTGCTACAGCCACCAGATGAGAAAGATCAAAGAACAGAAGAGAAAGCACAGAAGCAATCCCATATATGGTAGACATGGAATTTACAATCAATCAGTGGAGAAAAATGTGGTTAGAATAACTGGCTAATACTGGTGAAGAAATCAAGCTGAATGTATCACCCTTTGCCCCCCAAAATTTTTACCTAGAGCAGTTTTTAATTTTTAATTTTTAAGATTTTATCTATTTATTCATGAGAGACACGGAGAAAGAGGCAGAGACCCAGGCAGAGGGAGAAGCAGGGTCCCTGCGGGGAGCCCCACGTGGAACTCAATCCCAGGACCCTGGGATCATGACCTGACCTGAAGGCAAATGCTCAACCACTGAGCTACCCAGGCGCCCCTCGCTAGAGCAGTTTTAAATGTTAAGATGAAATAAAAATCTTGCAAAGTTGTAGATGCATAGCGACATATCAATTCAAATAATGTACAGAATTTGGGGGAAAAAGGGCCTTTCTTGAGTGACTCTCAGGCTAGAAACCAGAGAAAAAGAGGCTGACAGACATGACAGGTAATCCTCCATGTGGCTACGGGTACCATAAGCATCGCTGATGGTAAATAAAAATTATAAAGTGGGAAAAATATTTGTAACATATGAGAGAAAAACAGACTTACTAGCCTTCATATATAAAGAAGTCTTATAAATAAATAACAAAAAGATGCAGGCCCCAATAGAAAAGTGGGAAGACGGGAAGTACACAAAAGATACGCACCCAGCCAATAAATGTATCAGGAATGGGCTGCAGGACACCCAGATTAAAAGAATGAAGTCAGCGGCAAAGATCAGAAAGCCAAGGATCGAAAAAGAACTTTCCCCAAAAAACAAAATCGAATCTGATCAAGCTTTCAGATCAGCTACCAACTTACAGGATATACAGTGGTCAGAAGAGTAGGTAAAACATGAGACACGATCAGCACAATCTTGACACAAACTCTACACACAAACCAGTTTCTTGAAAGTACAATCAAGGGGGGTAAACAGAAGGGAGATGCTTGATCAGAAGACACCGAACTCATCAACTCGCCGGATAGGTAGACCTTATTTGGATCCCAATTTGTACAAGTTGTAAAAAACCAAACTGAACCAAACCAAACCAAACCAATCATTTATGAAACTGCGAAAGCATGCAGAGCTTTGACCAGAGCCTAGAGACTAGAGCACACGGAAATGAGCACGGTGACCCGACATTACGTGTGGGACCTGCTTCCGGGGCGTGGAGGGGGTGGGCGGCCGAGCCAGCCCTGGGCTGAACGCTGCCCGAGACGAGCGATTGGAGTCCCCTGCACTGTTTCTTCTGCTTTCAGACGTGTTCATAATGTTCCAAGTTTAAAAAGAGAAGGGACATGGGCTCTTGGGACCAACATCCTGGAGGGCAGACAACCAGAATGTGCCCTCTGTCCCACTGAAAGTTCTCTTGTGGAAATAATTGGAAAACTTTCTGGAAACGTGTAAGAATGATTATCAAGCAATTTTTGTAAAAAGCAAGTAAATAGATGAGCAGTAAACGGATGGAGGAATGAGGAGCAGCGACACACACGTTCCGTGGGGACCGGACGGGGCACTGGGGCATTTCTGCTCAAGGGGATGATCTGCAGCCGTTGAAGGAGGGGACCTCGTACACATTCACACCAAGAAAACATGCACATGATGTTCACACCAAAAGTACACGTCTATGGACGTACACGTTTACGGAGCCAGTGTTACAGGGACGGACATGGAACTGCCACCTTCAGTGGCGGGACTGGGATGACAGGGTTCTGGAGATTTCCATATTTGTAGTTCATTTTCAGTGATGGATAATTTTTCCTGTACTAAGCATGGATCTGAGGCATAACTTTAAATGTTTCAGAAAGAAATTTGTAAATATATCTTTAAAGGAGGCAAAACATTTCAAATAATGTTACCATCTCTTCCTTAACCACTTAACCATGCTTTTGAGTTTTCTGAAGTGGGCGTTTTAGAATTTCTCGGTGTCGAAGCCACCATAAACCCATTTGGTGAAAGGATAAGAGGGATATGCTCATGTTTTGTCCCTGCACCAAATACAAACAGCAGATTGTGGGTTAAAGGACAAACCGAAAGGTTGTGTAACGGCAGCACGCACACACAAACACAAGCCCGCTTCCTCGGGGTGCGAAGGCAGGTCTTTCCCTCCTCTTTTGACAAGTAAACACCGATGAAGCCCTTTAAAGGGATGAGCACATTTCGTGGGCAGCCTCAAGCCTGCCACGCTGGGTGTCCTGGCCTGGCCTTCACCTTGAAGACGGAAAAGACGTCCCCACACTTACCTACAGACTTTATAAACCACTTTTGGCAAAATGGTAAGACGTGGTGTCCCAGCTGTCAAAACACTGGGCCTGGGCTCCAGGGCGGAGTACCTGCCACTACCCCACGCGACATTCTCCTGCAACAAGCGGAAGCCTCTACTGTCACACTGCAGCGGGCCACGCGGGCCCAGTCACCACCTGCTTCCCTGTCTCCACTTCCCACGTCTTCTACAGCGAACAAGCATCACTCGTATAGTCATGAAACGGCCAAGCAAACAAGAAGTTTTACCTGGACACTGATTTCCCTCATAGGCTCCAAGCTGCAGGGCCCAGGAGGTGGACTGGGCAGGTGGGAGAGCTGAGGGTGAGGCCAAAGGCCGCCTTGGGGAGGCAAGGCAGGGGAGGCCGGCCGGGGGAGGCCAGGCTAGGATGGGCCCTGGGACGGGGCCCCGTGGTGGTCTAGTCTGACCCGGCCTGAGCTGACTCAACATGCTGAGCTAACACCGGAGCCGCACCTTGCGGGCACCCCGCCGACTCGCTCTTCCGTGAGCGTTCCCTCCCAGCCTGGGAACTGGAGGGATTCATGGGAAAGCTGCCGGTCCAGCATCACCCCACCGTTGTCATTGTCCCTGCTGCTCTAAGCTTTCGTGTCCTCTGGCTTCCCAGAGAGGTGTCCGCTTTGGGGTTTGAGGGGTCACGCACTGGGGCACAGGGGCGACCACCAAGGGTCACCCAGGCCATGCGTGCATGCCTCTCTCTGCTCCCAGCAAACCCTGTGGGCCATCACCCCCTCCCACAGACACCCTGGGGGACATGAGCCTTGCACCCCATCTGGCTGGCTCTGCACGGGGTGCCTCCCACCAGGCAGGAAGGGGCAGGGGGCTTACTCTCCACGGAACAAGCTTTCTTCACCAAGTAGCGATGTGTGTGCTCATTCCCCAGCACAACTAAGTAAACGTGCGGCCTCTTCCTCTCCCCGTGAATCTGGGCGAAACAGACGGGCTCACGCCCAAAAAGGAATGCTGTGAATCTAAGAAGCTCTGCGCCCCCACGGTTTCTCTAAGAATTACGACACGTCTCCTTTAGCAGAGAGGAGCACAAGAAAGCTCCCTGATGGCACCTGTTTCACGGCCACAGACCTCAGGCTCGCCGCTCCGGGCCTGGGCATCCTGGTGAGGACGGCTGGCTCATCCCCGGCAGTTGGTGACCTGACTCTGGGCCACAGGACTTGTGACCTCCCCGAATGCCGAGGGCAGTCTCCTCTTTCCTGCAACACAGCAGTGCCCTGTGATCCCGGATAATCCACAGCACAGCTGGTGTCGTACGGGTTTCCTCCCAACACCCGGTCTGCCCTTCTGTGCCACATGAAGTCCCTCCACGACCACACGCCGTGACCGCTGGCAGGCTGGCCCTGCGGATGTCGGTGTTGAGGGGCGGCCGCTGGCGGGGAACAGGCCATGGGCATGAGACGACCAGGCGGGGAGTGCAGGGCCTCTGCCCACCCCCCCGGCCTTGGAAGGGTAAAGAGCCTGAGAGCGGAGCTGGAACCCGGTAATTTTGTGAGGACCGTGTCTGGTAAGTACTAGGACATCTCAGGAAGCCTTCAGATCCAGGGAAAGTGACACCCGTCTCCACAGTCAGATGATGCATTGAAAACCCAAGAAAAGTGAGAAATTTCCATTTTAATATAAAAGAGGCCCTGTGCCCAATAACTTCATTTGGGGAATTACACAGAACGGATTGGACACCAGCATTTAGTAAAATTCAGTTTAAGATTATAGAGTATTTTAAATATAAAAATAAATCTCTTAATTAAAAATGAGCATATAAGGAGCCCTGGGTACATCCACAAAACTACTGGAGAGTCTGAAAGCAGAGCTACATCTGGATATGGTTCCATGAGCCACAGGGTTCTCTAACTTCATAGGAAATTTGACACTGAAATGTTCTGTAACTTTTACATGATGCAAATGATTTCCTTGTCAAGAAAGATACATCTGAAGGGTGCAGCAGGTGCCAACAGTCCCAAGGCTCCTCTGAGGTGATGGGGGTCCTCCTGGCTCTAGCGCAGTAGGCGATGGGATCTCCTGAACCGGCGATTCCAACAGGTGGGTGCCCAGGTCCATCTGTGAGATTGACACTTGTTGGCACATGGACGTCTTGAGACCCAAACTGGAACCTTCCAGCTTGTTCCTTAATGGTTCTCGGTGTGGTTAAGATGTCCCTACGATGATACAAAAATACATCGTGGGAATTAATTTATCGTGGCTGTCTGTTCACCCACATGAATGAAGTACTGCATTTAAGATGACAGGGCTACCACTTGTAAAGGGTGTTTTATTTATGAAGTAAATACACATTTACAGACTATATATTAGCATGTAATAAAAGATATTTAAAGCACTTCCTACAGTGCCTGTTACATAGAACGTCCTCAATAAACATCATTTTTCTTCTCCCCTACAGTGCTATGAGAAAAAAAAGAGTGAAAATATAATTTATATATTCATAAAACAATTAAAAAAGAACAATGTTGTCTAAATATTGAACAGGGATCCATCACAATGGAGCTGTAGTGGCCCCTCTCAGGGGGACCAGGCTCTGGAAGTGACCCAGGTTTGTAACCGTCCAGGACTGCTGCCCACCTCACCTCATGCCTCCTCACCTTCACCCGCAGAAATAACTGGGAGGACCAGATGGCTAGGGGCGGACAGGTGGCCAGACGCTGTGCCACTGTGTAACGAGGTCTTGTCCAGCATGTAGAAACCGTTGTCCCACTTGGCCACAATCCCGGCAAAGAGCGGTGTGGATCTGTGGCCCAGTAGCAGGAGCCGGCAGGGGAGCCCTGCTCTCCAAGACCACATCACGATGCCAGCGGGCTGGTCCACGATGGTGTTCATTTCCTAGAAGGCAGTGCTGCCCTAAGCCATGGGGACCCAGCCTGAGAGACCTGGGACTGGTGAGCAGGAGGCAAGGTGGCACCCAGGCTTGTGAGCCCCTGTGTCACAAGGGTGGATCATGCAGGTGGATTGGAAGGGGATGGTCTGGAGGCCGCTGATTCTCCCTGCTGAGGGGTCTGGAAGGCTTCACAAAAGAGAGGACCAAGAAGGCAGAATAGAATCTTTCAGGGTTGGGGAGGGCCTCCCAGGTAATAGGAATGGCAGGTCAGAATGTTCCAGAACTAGAGAAGTCATCTGGGATGAGGGAAGCCAGGGTTCACAGCACACACAGGCAGGGACAGATCTGTCTGGAAGCTCAGGCTGTACCCTGATTGTGAATACAGGCAAGTATTCAACAGGCCTGTGTTTCCCAAAACAGTCCCAGAGATGCATGTGTAACAGGCATCCTTTACAAAAGGACGTCTTGCAAACACTGGATTGAACAAAATCAAACGAGTGTCTTTACCATGATTCTTGTTCTTTGATCATCTATGCATCAAATCTCCAAAAAGTGGGGAGGGGATGTAGCTTTTCCCAAACGTCTCTGGCCAGGAAGCTCCTGCAGTGAGACTCTAGGCAGAGGCACCCGGTGAGACGCTCTGCTCCAGGCACAGGAAGTAGCAGATATGAGGTTAGAGCTGGCAAAGCTCCCTGTGAGGTGCTGTGGGACAGAGAATGCAGCAGACGGGCTCAGGAGGCCAGACTCCAGAGGCAGGGGCCTCTTTCTGGGGGACAGTGGATGGCCTGGTGGGAAGGGGACCAGACAATGCTCTTCATCATCGTCTTCTCCTTCTCCTTCATCATCATCATCATCATCATCATCATCATCATCATCACTGTTGCCAACAGCACCACCACCATGTGGCTCATTAACTAAATTTTCTTTTTAAAAAGGTCTTTCCTGGGGATCCCTGGGTGGCTCAGCAGTTTAGTGCCTGCCTTTGGCCCAGCGTGCCATCCTGGAGTCCCGGGATTGAGTCCTGCATTGGGTTCCCGGCATGGAGCCTGCTTCTCCCTCTGCCTGTGTCTCTGCCTCTGTGTCTCTCATGAATAAATAAGTAAAATCTTTAAAAAATAATAAATAAAAAGGTCTTCACTGAGAGGTCTCCGTCTGGCCCCACCCGCCCTCCTGTGGCACAATGGGGTTATGTGAAGATGTGCTGGAGGCAGAACGGATCAGACTGGAAACAGTGAGACAGACAGAGCCACATCACTATGAAAACCCAGACCCAGGATCTTAAGCACAAAAGAACCTGCAGAACCTGCTCCTTTAAGCCTCTCAGCCAATGGTGGGTCAGGTTCCCACATCGTCCCATTCACTCTTCTCGACGCGTTCTAATTATCAATGTCCCTCTTGCAGCACGGAGCCACGGTGACACCCGAAGAGGAGCCTGCCCTGCCCCTGATCTAGAGGGAGGGTGTGGGGTCCAAGGACTCTGCAGTGTGACAGGCGGGGTCTGGGCGCTGACCGCGTCTCTGACTCAACAGGAGCCTTCCCCCAAGTCTCATGCTCACTGACGATGCCCTGTTGCCCCATCAGGCTTGAAAGTCATCTTGTAAGAAACAGTAGGAACACATGGCTTTTGATAAAATACAACTCTGACATTTTTCTACAATGAGAAAGACGTTTGTTAAAGGCAGCTTTTCTTCGTTTCTAATACTGTGATACAAGGGCCTCGGGCCCAGGCGGTCCGCACGTGGACACAGCAGAATGACAGTGTCAAAGCAGGAATCCTCTCACCCGCAGAGACAGAAGCATCGTGTCGCATTCGAGGGATCCTGCAGATTACCGGCCGCCTTCCCGTCAAACACAGAAGTCAGAAGGCAGTGAGAGGGCTATTCAAAGTGCTGACCGACAATCCCTGGAGAGTTCTAGATCCAACCAAACTAGCCCCCAGAAACCAAGGCGCTCCTGAAACAGCCCGGGGACACAGACAGGCTGTCACTAGCAGACCCAGCTTGTGACAAATACCGAAGAGAATCCTGCAGGCTGATCTGAAAGGATACTGGACAGACCTCAGGAAGCCTAAGTCACATTTTTCCGAAAGTGCTAACTTGCCTTGTAATACAGTTCACCCTCTCCTTGGGATGGAACAGATTTTACTCTTCGCAAAGCTTTTGTTCTGTTCCTCTAGTCAGCCGAAGATGCGCTGCTCCTCTCATCTGGAAGAAATAACGTGAATGTGGTTTGTTTCCTAATTATTACCACTGAGTAAGAGTTCATCTTTCTCTCCCTCCATCCAAGCTACCTTACCAGTGAGCCCACCGCCTGGGGCCTCCTGCATCAGAGGGCCCCCTCTGGCCGTGCCTCTCCATGGGGTAAAGAATCCACAGGGCCAGTGGGATGTTCTGACCCTAAGCCCCTGTCCCCCTTCCAGAGCCTACTTCCTGGTCCCGGGCCAGACTTTCTCCAGGTACATTCTCCTGAGGACAGACCACCCCACTGCTGCCCTACTCCAAGGGGTAGCTGCTTGTTGGAGAGGGTTATGTGAGGTGGGAGTGGGGATGACAAGGAGCCCGGACTGTCCTTTTAATGTGCTCAAGGCCCCATGTCATGCAGGACAGAGTCTGGGCTGTGCCCAGGAGCCAGCTTTCCCTCATCCCAGCAGATCCCAGCATGGAACTCCAAGAAATCTAAGAAGTCTGTATTTGAACTGGCCTTCCACCTTGCTCTGAAGGCTTACTTGTCAGCCTGAGTCTGAAGGAGCTGTGGAGAGCCGGGCCCATATCAAGGGAAAGGGCACTGGATTGTAAAGATCACTCTTTTTGCCTCTGTTTCAGATTGTCCCATAGCTCGAAGGCTCTGGAACTTGCCCTAGTCTAACTGCCGTAAGACCCTTCCAGGGGGTGGGAGTGGACAACAGGAACAAAGCTCAGTACTGAGCAGTACTCAGCAATAGCTTGGAACGAGGAACTTGGAACAATAATGAGCAAACACTTTATAATGTCTCCCACTGATTATCCTCGAAGGGATCAAGATTGAGGAACACTGTTCAGACTGGGGGGAAAGGATAAGTGGCTGGGACTGCAGTCTGGGGAGGTGGAGTCAGGCCAGGTGGCATCCCATAACCTTCCCCACTTCTGAGGCTGAGTGGTGCTCATGCTGGGGAGGAAGATCTAGGGCTGCACCCAGGCTCGGGCCTGTGCTGGCAGCAGCTCCACTTGCCCCAAGCAGGCCAACCGACAGCGCTCACGCCCCAGAAGCACGAGGATCACAGAGGAATACTGTTGAGCTTAAGACGACAAACAGGTCATTTTGAAAATAGGGGATACGGAGGAATGTGCGTTCTAGGAAAAGCCTCGAGTTCAAAACTAAAAAACAAACTGCACGCAGAGCTTTCCTGGACTTTAAAAGCAGGCATGGAGGACAGATCCGAAATCCGGTTACCAGGTTGTTCTCTTACATCGCATTATCTCAAACTCCAGATGCAGGCTCTAGTGGAGGGGCACTGGCACTAGGAGCGGATGCTGGGGTCTCACGCAGGCTTCCCCGTGAGGAGCCTGAGGACTTTAAAGAACCCACTTACTGGGTGCTGCTGCTGTCTTTTTAAATTTTTGTTTTAGTTTTTTCATTTTATACCTTTTGACCCCTTTCACCCATTTCTCCAACCCTCATTCCCTGCCTTTGGCATCTACCAATCTGCTCTCAGTATCTATGAGCTGCTTTTTCTTTTTTTAAATAAAAAAATTCCACATGTAAAAAAAAAAATTCCACATGTAAGTGGGATCGTATGAGAGGAGTCTTTTTCTGACTTCTCTCACTCGGCGTAATGCCCTCGAGCTTCATCCTTGTTGTTGCAGGATTTCATTCTCTTTATGGCCGAATAACATTCCACTATGTATATATACGACAGTTTCTTTATCCATTCATCCATCCTATGTTTGAGTGTTCATCTCCTATCCAGCAAGCGTGGCGAATAGTAGTTCTAGCACTATCTGTAGCTTTTCTTGGATTTTCTATGTAATTATATCATCTGGAAATAAGTTTACTTCTTTCCTTTCCAATTTTTACACCATCGCTTCTTTTTCTTAACGTGCCAAAGGTCAGAGCATTATCCCTCCCTGGAGAGTCAGGAACCCAACACACCCGCACACTCGTGCACTAAACAGAAGTGGCGACAGCAGGCAAACTTGTGTTTCCCTCTTCATCAACAGAAATGCTTCCACTAAATATGACAAACCCTACGCCTCCCCAGGATAAACACCTCTATTTCTGGTTTGTGGAGCTTTCATCGTGAGTGGGATTTGGAGGAACTGGATGTTGTTTCTGCATCTATTTAGACAATCATTTGATTTTTTTCTCCTTTTACCAATGTAATAGTTTTTCTAATGTTAACTCATCCAGCTTTTTGAGGACTTTCCCAATTCATCTGTTACTGGTCTGAGTCCACCTTGGTGGACATCCACATTTCCCACGGGGGTGGGGTGCAGGGAGGGCTCCCACTGTACCGGCCATCCTACCCTATGCTTACCACTGCCAGCCCACATGTTCACACAGGCACAGCCCCCCGCCCCCCGACCACATCAAAGATGTCCTGCCACGGTCTTCTGGTGTCTGTTTTCACCAAGAGGTCTGTGGTGAGAGCACCATCCCCCCACCCCCAGAACAATCCATTACGTCTCCCCAGCAGCCCCGCAGGACATCCCCTGTATTGTCTTTCCACTTCCATGTCTTTCCGCATCCATGACAGATGTGCGGAGACATCATGCCCAAGACCCTGGTACTTTGTTCCAGGAGTACAAAAAGGTACAAAAGTGTACCACACCCTCATGAAGCACCGCATTGCCTGGGAGGGAGAACAGAAGAGATACACCCTGCAGATCCTGAGCCCTCACGCCCTAAGGAGAAATAAGCTCATCGTCCTGAACTTGAGGTCTCTCATTCTCAGGAACATTTCTTACTCTTTCAGTTAGTACTAATGTTTTCCATGTTTAAAATTGCATCTAAATGGTACCATTCTATA